ACTCATACCTCCTGACGAACCGGGTCTTTTTACAGGACAGGTAGAAATGTAATGACCTGTTGTCCCATAATACAGACAGCTCTTGGTGTTCAGTCTGTGTAACCGTTCGTCAGGAGACAATCTAGCTCTGCCAAGATGCATAGGCTCCGGAGGAGGCGAGTCGGCAACCCTCTGTGATTTCCGAGAGAACTCGGGTGACATCGGATTCACTCAGAAGTGTAGACTTCGGGGATTTCCCAGAATTCCTCGGAGGCGAGGTGGATATCGAGGAACAGGGAACAGACTCCCTCTCCCTCTTAAATTCCCGTAGCCGCCCATCGATCCGGATGATCAAGGTATGAAGGAGTTGAGGTCCATGGGCAGCTCCCAGGCTGCGAGCTCGTCTTTAATCATCTCCGATAATCCTTGAAGAAACGTGTCGAACAGGGCTTCCGAGTTCCAGGCACTCTCAGCCGCCAACATGCGAAAATCCACAGCGTAGTCTGCCACACTACGGGGGTCTTGATGTAGCAGCTGACGAGCAGCCTTTATCCCGTACCTCCGCCACGAACTCCTCCAGACTGAGGCAAACAGTGTACTGTTGCTCCCACACCCCCGTAGCCCGGACATCAGCGGAGGTACGCTATCTTCGAGCGTTCCGAGTGGAACAAAGAAGGCTGCAGCTCGAAGATGAGGGAGCACTGGGATAGAAAAGCCCGGCAGGTTCCAAAATCTCCAGCGTAGCGCTCCGGAGGAGGTAAGCGAGGTTCTCGGGACACCAGGGTAGGCTGGGAAGAAGCGCCGCTGGTGACGGGGTTGCTGAGAGTCAGTGGAATTACAGTAGTGGCTGGCTGCCTAATAGACAATCCATGGACTTGCTCCAGCACTGTATGGAAAGCACGGTCGTGGCGTTCCGCCAGGGTCTGGAATCCTTCCATAAGGTTGTGAAGTAACTCCTCGTTTCTTCCTATGGTGGCTCCTTGGGAGGAGATGGTGTCGCGGAGCTGGTCCAAGTCTGCTGGGTCAGTCTTGGCCAGTTCGTACTATCACAGCTCAGGCTAAGCCTCAGATGCAGACACAGGAGGCGGATAGTACGAGTCTCAGAGTTTATTATAGTACAAGGGGCAGGCAAAAGGTAAGTTAAGGCAGGCAAAGAGTCGTAATCCAAATCAGAGCCAGGCAGGTACATGACGGCAGGCAATTGGTAGGTCAAGGCAGGCAAAGAGTCGTAATCCAAATCAGAGTCAGGCAGGTACAGGACGGCAGGCAGGATCAGGGTCAGGACAGGCAGAAAAGTCAGAACTGGAGCACAGGAAACACGGGAACACGCTGGTAGGACTTGACTGGACAAGACGAACTGGCAACAGACAAACAGAAACCACTGGTATAAATACACAGGGGATAATGGGGACAAATGGGAGACACCTGGTGGGGGGTGGAGACAAGCACAAGACAGGTGAAACCGATAAGTGCGTGACAGTTGTATATAGTTCACAGGCACTTTCCCCACTGCACAAAAAACTGGTATGGTGAAACCCCTTCTGAACAAAAGTAATCTAGATTCTTCAGCTCTTAGCAATTTTTAGCCAATCTCCAACCTTCTATTCTTAAGCAAAATTCTGGAGAAATTAGTTTTCAAACAGGTAAAATAATTTTTAAATGCCAACTGTATTTTTGAAAAATTCCAATCTGGATTTCGGGCCCACCACAGCACAGAGACAGCCTGAGTTAAGGTGGTAAATGATCTTAGAGCCAACACAGATGCCAAACAGCTCTTTGTCCTTGTACTCTTGGATTTAAGTGCTGCATTCGACACTGTTGACCATGATGTCCTTCTGGACAGACTTGAGAGGTGGGTTGGCCTCCCCGGTCCAGTTCTAAATTGGTTTAGGACCTATTTAACTGATCGAGAGTTTGTCGCCCTTGGTGAACATAACTCAGAGAAAGTACATATCACATGTGGCGTTTCACAAGGTTAGATTTTGGGCCCGGTACTGTTCAGTTTATATATGTTACCCTTTGGCAGTGTTATCAGAAAGCACAGCATTGATTTTCACTGCTACGCAGGATTTTAGCTCAACAGATAAATTATTATACTGTATTAGTGATTTAAACAACTTCCTCCAGCTAAATCAAAACAAGACCGAGGTACTTATTGTTGGAGCAAAAGCAAAGAGAGAGAATCTGGCCGCACATTTTAATTCACGGGCAATAAAGATAAAATACCAGGTAAAAAACCTAGGTGTTATTTTATATTCTGAACTCAATTTCGAATCACACATTCAGAATGTGACCAAAATAGCCTTTTACCACGTGAGGAACATTGCCAAGGTGCGCCCGTTTCTCTCTCAGGCTGATACAGTTAGGCTCATCCATGCTTTTATTACAAGCAGGCTTGACTACTGTAATGCTCTCCTGTCTGGTCTACCCAAGAAAGCCATTGGTCAACTGCAAAACATACAGAACGCTGCAGCACAGGTACTGACCAAGACCAGACGGAGAGCACACATTACACTGGTTTTAAGGGCTCTGCACTGGCTGCCTGTGAGTTTTAGAATTCATTTAAAGATTATTCTATTGGTTTTTAAATCAATCCACGATTGTGCACCCCAATACATGTCAGACTGCTTTTAAGTTACAGTGGCTTGTGAAAAAATTCACCCCCTTGGCATTTTTCCTATTTTGTTGCCTTACAACCTGGAATTAACATTTATTTTGGGGAGGTTTGTCATTTGATTTACACAACATGCCTACCACTTTGAAGATGCAAAATATTTTTATTGTGAAACAAGAAATAAGAAAAAAATATATATAACTTGAGCGTGCATAACTATTCACTCCCCCCCAATGTCAATACTTTGTAGAGCCACCTTGGGGTCTCTTGGGGTATGTCTCTATAAGCTTGGCACATCTAGCCACTGGGATTTTTGCCCATTCTTCAAGGCAAAACTTAAATGGATGGTGTTCTCTGGGTGATGAGAGGTGTTGGGTTTGCGCCAGACATAGCGTTTTCCTTGATGGCCAAAAAGCTAAATTTTAGTCTCATCTGACCAGAGTACCTTCTTCCATATGTTTGGGGAGTCTCCCACATGCCTTTTGGTGAACACCAAACGTGTTTGCTTATTTTTTTCTTTAAGCAATGGCGTTTTTCTGGCCACTCTTCCGTAAAGCCCAGCTCTGTGGAGCGCACGGCTTAAAGTGGTCCTATGGACAGATACTCCAATCTCCGCTGTGGAGCTTTGCAGCTCCTTCAGGGTTATCTTTGGTCTCTTTGTTGCCTCTCTAATTAATGCCCTCCTTGCCTGGTCAGTGAGTTTTGGTGGGCAGCCCTCTCTTGGCAGGTTTGTTGTGGTGCCTTTGTCGTATCGGGTGAATGGTGGCAATTATTGCTATCAACAAGGAGTCCGCTTAGGCTGCACCGTGTTTTAGAGGCTTTTATTAATATCACACGGTTACAGCATAAGTGACAGATGTCATGACATCCGGAGAGCGACGCCTCAGAATGGCCGCTCTGCCTTTCTTCTTCGTTTAGCCCCTACTTATAAACAATGCAAAAAGATGCTCCCTCTTCTGGCCAATCACCAGTCTCCCCTGTCTACAACACACTTCCTGTCTGTTGTATGTGGCGTTACACTAAAACATTCCCTCTTGATACTAAAATCAACATTCTTTCAGTTCCACTTAAAAACATTTAACAAAGGCATAATCCCAATACACAACACCATATTCTTTCCATTTTGGGATAATGGATTTAATGGTGCTCCGTGGGATGTTAAACGTTTTGGATATTTTTTATAACCCAGCCCTGATCTATGTGACAGATCATGTGACACTTAGATTGCACACAGGTTGACTTTATTTAACTAATTATGTTACTTCTGAAGGTAATTGGTTGCACCAGATCTTATTTAGGTGCTTCATAGCAAAGGGGGTGAATACATATGCACGCACCACTTTTAAGTTATTTTTTTCATTTCACTTCACCAATTTGGACTATATTGTGTATGTCCATTACATGAAATCCAAATAAAAATCAATTTCAATTACAGGTTGTAATGCAACAAAATAGGAAATACGCCAAGGGGGATGAAGACTTTTGCAAGGCACTCTATGTACCAAATAGGTCCATCAGATCCTCTGGTACTGGCCTTTTAACTATCCCAAAGCCTAGGACCAAGAGGCATGGAGAGGCAGCCTTTAGTTACTACGCCCCCAGCCTCTGGAATAGCCTGCCAGAGATCCTGAGGGGGGCCTAAACTGTGGACATTTAAAACACACCTTTTTAGCTTTGCTTTCCTTAAGGTGCTTTTTAGTCGTTCAGTTTTTATTGTAATTCTTTGTTTTTTTATCCTCTTATGTTTGTTGTGTAGTAAATATTTCAGTTTTTATTTTCATAGTTCTTATTTGTTTTTTTTGCCTGTGAAGCACATTGTGTTGCATTCCATGTCTGAAATGTGCGGTATATATAAAGCTTGATTTGATTTGATAGTTTGTTTTGTAGTGGGGGCTTCTTTTGTCTCCTACGTCATGTGACATACCATTACTATATCTCTCATGCCAAGACATATTTGAAAAACACCAACAAACAAATGCGGTGTGCGATAACACCATACTGTAAAACAGTGCAGTTTGACGTTATTCTGAAAAAATAATCCCCACACACAAAGTTCTCACTTAGAATAGAGTATGGAAGAACAATTTTAAATCAACAGAGTGACTGCAAATATGATTTGACTAAGGCAGATGCCTCTAGACAGAACAGAACAGAGAGAGAATTTAAAAACAGCATAAGCCACTTATTCTCGCCTCACCCCACAAGCTACATTTCACACTTTCTTGAATTGAGAAGTTGCTTTTCAACACAGTTTCTTTTGGTCAGCCGCAAACATTTGCACATTCCACTCACTGATCCTGTGACAATTACAATAGAAATGAAATAAGTAAACACTTGAAAAGAAATGTGGTTTTGACCTTGTTTTTTTGTTGAATAATTAATTGACTCTCTCCTTTGTCCCTCAGGCATTGCTGGCAACCCAGTGCTCTTCAATGAGAATGGAGATGCCCCTGGTCGCTATGAGATTTTCCAGTACCAGATCAGAAACCGAACAGCTGAATACAAAATCATCGGGCACTGGACCGACCAGCTCTATCTGAATGTAAGCATTTTTATTTTTTTTTTATAGTTCATACAGAAGCTGCAGATACTGTACTTTAGTTATATTATCAGACTCATCCCCTCCTCATTACCTTCCTGTGTTTCACCATTTGTGTCAGTGGCTCTCCTCCGGACACAGCTTTGATTGGTTGTTGTCGTCTGTTGGTTCTACTGCAGCGCTTCCTTGGCTCTGTAATTCCTACTGAACCATTAGCTACTGGCTTTGTGCACACATCTTTAAAGGTGAAAACATCCAGAGGGTGCTTTAATGATTAACAACACAGACTGGAATGAAAAGAAAGCAATAAGAGCTTAAAAACCGATACATTGCTATAGTGACTTCAGACACCATCCACTGTTTTAGGGAAACAGTATGGTGCAATTGTGGACACATGGGGGTTACAAAGCTATAACAATGAATTACATGAAGCCGGCCCCTCAAATAATGTTTAAACAGAATAATAAGAGCTGGCCTTGGGCTAAGAAAGATATAAATAAAAAAGAAGCATGTTTCTATGGAGTTGACCTGGTTTCTATGGAGTTGACCTGTGTCTGTACCACTTTCAATGCTGTGTACACAGAGTGAATGGCGTTGTAAATTATAGTCCTGGGCACCAATTCTCTTTCCATAGGATATTTTAGGTCATTAGGACTCTTATAGCTGTTAATTATATACACATTTGGGGGATGAGTTTGCCGCCCATGAATTTAACAACCACCATCAATGGCAAAAAAGTTAATAACATGACGCTAACTATACTGTTTTAAAAAATCAACTAAAGTTTATCTGTAAAATACTTTTTTGGGGAGATGAGAAAGAAGCCCCAAAACTAACCACATGCCAGTGGTAATTGTCATTAAACAAGAAGAGACTGTGTATGGGTTATAGTGTTAGTTATTTGAGAAGTGTTTGACTGTACCCCTCCTCTCCTCTCCATATCAATCAGATCCGAGCAATGCACTGGCCAGGTGGAGGTCGACAGATCCCTTACTCCATCTGCAGCAACCCATGCCAGGCCGGAGAACGCAAGAAGATAGTAAAGGGCATCCCTTGCTGCTGGCACTGCGAGCGTTGCGACGGCTACCAGTACCAAGCAGACACCTACAGCTGCAAGATGTGCCGCTTTGACCTGCGTCCCAATGAGAACCACACGGCCTGCCGTCCCATCCCCGTCGTCATGCTGGAGTGGAGCTCCCCCTGGGCCGTCATCCCTGTCCTCATCTCCGTGGTGGGCATCATGGCCACCCTGTTCGTGGTGGTCACCTTTATCCGCTACAACGACACGCCCATCGTCAAGGCGTCAGGCCGCGAGCTCAGCTACGTTCTACTGACAGGTATCTTCATGTGCTACGCCACCACTTTCCTCATGATATCTGCCCCTGATGTGGGCATCTGCTCCCTCAGACGGATCTTCCTGGGTCTGGGGATGAGTATCAGCTACGCAGCCCTGCTCACCAAGACTAACCGCATCTACCGCATCTTCGAGCAGGGATCCATGTCGGTGAGCGCCCCTAGGTTCATCTCTCCAGCCTCCCAGCTGGTCATCACCTTCAGCCTGACTTCGGTGCAGCTACTGGGGGTGTGTATCTGGTTCGGTGTGGACCCGTCTCAGGCCATCATCGACTACGAGGACCAGCGCATGGCCAATCCGGACATGGCCCGTGGCGTGCTCAAATGTGACATCTCTGACCTTTCTCTGATCTGCCTGCTTGGCTACAGCATGCTGCTCATGGTCACCTGCACGGTGTACGCCATCAAGACCCGGGGGGTGCCGGAGGCCTTCAACGAGGCCAAGCCCATCGGCTTCACCATGTACACCACCTGTATCATCTGGCTGGCCTTCATCCCAATCTTCTTTGGTACCTCCCAGTCCACAGAGAAGGTAAGCTCAGAGGTGTGTTTTATTCTGGTCTGTTTGTGTTTGGATTTGTTGATATGCAAAAGGTTGGCATAAGCACAAAGAGTATTCTACAGACTGGGTCCCTCTCTCTCTCTCTCTCTCTCTCTCTCTCTCTCTCTCTCTCTCTATCTCTCTCTGTCTCCCTGTTTCTCTGTCTTTCTCTCTCTCGCTCTCTCACTCTGTCTTTTATTTCATGGTTGAAATAAAATGCTTTTTTATAATGCTTTGTTTATAGAGAGGCCTTTGTACCTTTGTTCATTATGGAAGGACTGTGCTGGGGAGTCAGTGAAGGTAGGTGGACATGGCTGGATGACAAAAGCATTATGTTATGGTATGCGCAAGCCTTTTCTGGCAGAGCTTAACCCTCTAGAGTCTAACATGCTGACCATACCGCCCGCGTCTCGTGCATTGCAAAATACATTTGCACATACATGTTATTCAATCATTTCATCCAAACTGCTAGCACTTGTCAACAAGTGTCTGTGTAGCCATGAGCTAAAAAATAACTTGGTTCTATTTTTGACATTTGACACACTGCAAGTCCTGCCTCTCCCATTTCCTCCTTGGATTTTAGGAGCATATACCCACATGGGTGATTAAAAGATGAATTAAGGTACACACTCCAGTCCAGTTGGTGGTGTTAATGCACCTTAAAGTTGGTTGCCAACCATCATATAAAGTCCACAGAAGAAGAAGAAGAAGACTGAAGGAGGAGAGATTACTAGAAAGTAACTAGGTTTCCCCTTTCATCTGTAGATTAATTGTTGGAGTAGAGAACCCACGATTTTGTGTAACTGGGCCAAAATTCTACAAAGATCCAGAAAAAAAACAGAAAATTTTAGATCAAATCAAATCAAATCAAAATGTATTGGCCACATGCGCCGAATACAACAGGTGTAGACATTACCGTGAAATGCTTACTTACAGCCCTTAACCAACAATGCATTTATTTTTTAATAAAAAAGTAAAATAAAACAACAACAACAAAAAAGTGTTGAGAAAAAAAGAGCAGAAGTAAAATAAAATAACAGTAGGGAGGCTATATATACAGGGCGGTACCGGTGCAGAGTCAATGTGCGGGGGCACTGGCTAGTTGAGGTAGTTGAGGTAATATGTACATGTGGGTAGAGTTAAAGTGACTATGCATAAATAATTAACAGAGTAGCAGCAGCGTAAAAAGATGGGGTGGGGTTGGGGGGGGCAGTGCAAATAGTCTGGGTAGCCAGGGTTCTAAGCTAACATATGGAATTGTTTTAAGATGTTCATACCAAAGATGATTTAACTATTTGATTTTGAATATTAAGACCCCTTAAGTTATCAAAACAAATATGTAAAACAATTATTAAAGCAACACTCGAGTGGTTTAAGGGGAAACATTTAAATGTCTTGGAATGGCCTAGTCAAAGCCCAGACCTCAATCCAATTGAGAATCTGTGGTATGACTTAAAGATTGCTGTACAGCAGCGGAACCCATCCAACTTGAAGGAGCTGGAGCAGTTTTGCCTTGAAGAATGGGCAAAAATCCCAGTGACTAGATGTGCCAAGCGTATATAGACATACCCCAAGAGACTTGCAGCTGTAATTGCTTCAAAAGGTGGCTCTACAAAGTATTGACTTTGTGGGGTTGAATAGTTATGCACGCTCAAGTTTTCTGTTTTTTTGGTCTTATTTGCTGTTTGTTTCACAAGAAAAACTATTTCGCATCTTCAAAGTGGTAGGCATGTTGTGCAAATCAAATGATACAAACTCCCACCAAATCCATTTTAATTCCTGGTTGTAAGGCAACAAATTAGGAAAAATGCGAAGGTAGGTGAATACCTTCGCAAGCCACTGTATCTCCATATATACTTACAAAATGTTTAAACTGATACAGGGGACGTTCAGACGAGTCTTGTAAGGCTTGTGGGTGTCCTAGAACACCATCGTGTTCGTGAGAGTCTCATCTTTCGATAGCGTGGTCATAATAATCTATAGGATGAACTGTTTGGACGGTACAGACGTTTTTGTGAGAAGGCCGATTTTCAGGATGTCTCATGGTCTGACAAACACAGCTCTAGCTCTGCCACCTTTCACCGCAGATGCAGAAGGGCGATATCGGCGGATGTGGTGGATTGAGACGCAGCCCATGCAAAACAGATGTCTCTAGCTTAAACAGACAGATTTTGATGGGGATTTTAGTATTATGTTAATTAGATTTCCGCGGGGGTGGTACATTTTTCTGCTATACTCTGTGTCAGAGCATTGATTTTCATTTTGTAATCATAAAGTTTTAATCTCCCCTGCAGTCTTGGTTTTATGAAGACTAGAATTACAATCTGATGATTTACAGTATATCTGAGATATAATTGCATTGGGGAGGTTAGAATCAATATAAAACAGCTAACCCATTAATTATTGAAATATTAATAGTTCTGATTTGAAGACAAAAGTATGGCCTATTATTTTCTACATGCACAGCATTTTAAGATAATTCCCCTAAACTCTGCAGGCCCTTTGCGTACTGTAGCCTGCTTGTAATTCTGTGACTCATGCTTATGTGACAGCCATGTGCCACAGTGTATTAGTGATGAGCTGTTTACACAACACAGAGCTCACACTTATGTCATTGTGTCAAATCAATGAGCCTGGCCTGGTGAACGGTAAATCCACTGAACACTGGGATTCACACCTAGGGGCAATTGTATTGGTTTTCATTCAAATACTTTCGAGCATTCGATTAAGCCTGCCTGGAATGGCGTGTCAGATGGGTGTGGTTTGCACTTTTTTGGACTATTCCATTGGTTCTGTTGTGCCAGGCAAGCTGAATCAAGTGAAGGATAAGTATTAGAAAGAAAACAAATACTGTTTGAACCCCAGGTCTGCTGGGATGTACAGGTCAGATGGGGACAATGGGAGAAATGGATGCACTGTAAACCCCAATATGCTGTCAATACTAAAAACTTTTTAGGAAACCCATTGCACTTAATATATCTGAGTACAGTTACTTAAAGTGATTTTGTAGTCATTACTCAAACCGATAGAGTCACTGTGACCCTGTAGAGCAGGGGTAGGCAACCCTGGTCCTCAAGTGTTTTTGATTTAACCGACCTGGAAGACCAGGTGATTTGAATGTAATACAGTGGCCTGAAACTCATGGTTTATAGACCTGCAAATAGGGTAGCAAAATTCCGTGAAGTTTCCCAAAATTCCCAGATTCTCAAAAAATCCTGGTAGAAGGATTTCCTGGAATCTTCCACCCGCGATTTCTGGGAAACCTGGGAAATTTACCAGAAGTTTGCAACCTTACCTGCAAGTCACATTATGCTGGCTTGCAAAGTGATGTGTAATTCCTATTAGACTCCAGCCAGAGTTAAGATATCCAACAGTTGAAATGTGTATCCACCCACAACCTGCATTCATAATGACTGCCAGGGTTGGGAACAGTGTGAGGAGACTACCTAAGCCATTTAAACTGGAACATTAAGTCATTTAGTAGACACTCTTATCCAGAGCGACTTACAAATTGGTGCATTCAACTTAGGATAGCCAGTGGGACAACCACATCTTGATCACAGTAAGTACACTTCTTCAAACAAGCAGCTGTGAGCAAAGTCTGTGCAATCAGGGACACCTACATCTCGATCACAACCATTTTCGTAACGGGTGCAAAAAATCTAACAAAATTATTGGATTAGTTTAGAAAAATGTATGTTATTTATCTTTGTGTAGCGTAAGATGTATCAATCAGTCACTCAATTTACATGCAAAAACACAGATATTAAAAACAAGAATTTAAAAAAAATGGTTATCATAACTTTTTTCTATGTAGTTGATGTGACTTCTCATTTAGTTTTGATTCAGTAACACATAAACATTTTAAGTAATAGGCCTAATCACTTTTCTTTGACTTTGAGTTCAACTTACTCAAAGTATTTGAGTTAAAAATGCCTTGGGGTTCACAGTGTGGATGTTGAGTTTTCAGCATAGCTACAGTACAGTGTGCTGATTGCACAGCCTTGAGATGAAAACAATGGATGAAATTAGTAGGTGGAAGCAGATCTATTTGGCAGCTAGACAAAGAATGGTGCCTCAGTAGCTGTCATGAGCACTGCTTATCTACTCAGGGGTGAGAGGCTAGTGAATGCATCGCACTGGCAGGGAGGACACAATCAGTGGGGCTAGAGTAAAACAACAGAAAGAGGGGGGTATAAAGAGCTACTATAATATCATCATCATCATCAGCGTCTTCCCACTGGGCTGGAGAGGCAGAAAAAAAAACAGAATACATTCTGCTCTGCCCTCTACTCAGCTTGTACATGGCTAAAATGTATATCTTGTAAGACTGACTATCACTTATGCCCTGCATTCAACATGTGTGTGCGTGTTCTTCTGCAGTGCTTTACAGTGCATTGCATATGACCATTGCTAGTCAGATGGACTCAGTCATAGTGCAAAATGTCCATAGAGTCAATTGTGGGTTAACGTAATGAAGCCCTTACTGAGCTAGATTAATTGTGTGTATCAGTCAACATCCCTTATCAGTATGACCTTTTGTGTTGTTAACACAATGCATACTCATCTGAAGAACAGAAAGACACCTGCAGGGATCAAAAGGGAAAACAAATTTTACAAGAAGTTTATGCCGTTTTTGCTTAGTCTCTTCTAAATCCTGTCTGCTACCATCACGTTGTGTTAATAACGGTGCAAAAATACTGGCATAGGGATCAGCCTTTAAAGGATCGGTCATATTTTAACAAGAGCAAGGTAAACTAACACAAACTGCAAAAGCTCCATATGTACTGCATAACAGATATTGACCTGAACATTGCTTATCTCTTGTAATTAGTAGCAAACCGCGATGGATATCAATAACTACTGTCTTCCAGCTGTCTGTATTCTGCCTTGAAAGATAAAAGAGAATCATGAAATAGACTTAACGCAAGCTTTTTCCTAGATGAGGTAATCCATTAGCTAGTGTGGCTTTGAATCACAAAACAGACCTACCTTTGTTTCTCCTCACAATCCTGCAGAAACACAGCCCTGCTAATTCAATTTAAAAACCTGGAACAAGTTCTCTTATAGAGGCTTAAGATAAGAGGTGGCTCTTCTTTTCCCAATTTGTATTAAACATTCATGAATTAGTTTTTCCCTCAGAAAAGGGCAGACACAATTGGGGAGAGATAACTTCAATTCTTTGGGAGGAGGAGAGCCACCGTTGCCAGGAGGCTTGAGCTCTGCTACTGTAGGTGAGAGAGAAAATACAGTGGCATGACTACGCTAAGTCCTTCCTTATACTGCTCTCTCTGCTTTCTCTATTAAAGTGTATGAGAGTAGCTAGTCCTATTATACACATGCACACATAAGAAACGTTGAATGTAGTGTAAAGATGCCTTTACAGTATGTTAAGAAGATATGCGATTTAGTGTTGAATTACTGTGTTGTTGGTTATCTGTTCTTAAAAATTCTCTTTTGAGCTAAAATATTCAGGATATGCATCCACAATCAAGAATACTGGGCTGCAGCACACACAAACTGCTTGATTTCCCAATCAATTTGAAGAATTCTGTGATAGATCCTCTGCGCTGTTATGTAAACAATGTTCCTTTATAAGAAATGAACATGCAAAAACAAAAGCACCTCGTAATCATCCAAAGTGACAAGCCCAACAAAGCCTTGCAGCTGGAAATGACATGTCTTTTAGAGCAAATGAAATGCTTGAGTTGCTCTGGGTCTTCATTTAACTTATCTGTCCGCCTATGTGCTCATCACCAGTTTACTGCAAGCCTCCCTCGCCTGGCACTCCAATTACACTCATTTATTTGTCATCCTGTGTCAGGAGAAATGTAACAAATGCCATATAGGAGGCCTTCTCAATCAGTCAAATCTGGCCTATCAATAGTGTGTGATCACAAAGCATAATGCTGGAAATTGATGTGGCACTGCCTCACCTGGAGAGGTGCAGTAAATCAGAGGATATCTGTCAGGTAGGGGGAGGGGGAGGAGTGGTAGTAACGTTTCACAATGGAGTCCAAGGAGAAGGTTTCTCTCCTCACAATGGACGCCTTCCCAACACAATCAGCCGACTTAGAAAGAGCTGCCATTACGGTGCTCGAACAGCTGACTGCTAGTGAGTGGTTTTGTCCATCTCTTTTATGTTATGAAGTTTTCATTATGCTGTTGACAGTGTTCTTGTTGTTGTCTACCGGCTGTTAAGAAAGTAGGTTAGTTCAACAGCCTTAGATTACTTGCTGTGATGTGATGTGTCCATTCACTGTAATGCTAGGTCAGAAACAGTCCTCAACCCGTCAGCTGCCGAAACAGAGAGACAGACAGACCAATGGCCCCACTCTGCTTTGGTTGTTGTTGGTTTTTCATAGATAAACAACATTATTCATTGTACAGCTGTCCCAGAGGCCTAATAGAACATAATGAGGGTCAATGGGACAGAGCACAGAGGATTTCATACTGGTTGCATCGGCTACATGACACAAGCCCTTTGGGTGTGAAGTTGTTGTCCTGTGCATTCCTAGAGGGAGAGGAGGCGATTGGACAAGAAGCTAATCAAGGCCAAAACATTGTAGTCTCTTTGTAAATCACGTTTTCCAGCAACACCACATTAGAGTCCCTAAGGGCAATAAATCCTTATTGGTTTAATTAGACTATAACCACAGTAACCATGTGAGGCTGTGAAATCTCTGATCTACTAAGATACTTAAATTAATTTTGAAATGATTCATAGCCTGTTGTTTGAATGTGCCATACTGAACTATGAATAAAACCACAGAACCTGCATTGTTTCCCAGGACGAATGTTAGTCAATAAAGGTAATTGAAAGTGCTTTTTATTAAGATCGAGCAAATGTTATACAGCTTGCAGGTTGGCGTTTATTGGGATGAATCTTATCCTGGGGGCAGAGCTGAGCGGTTTTCGCTAGATGGGCGAGCCGTAAAGTCAAAATTGGCTATACCGTAAAAAATGTATGAAAACAGAAATGTGCTTTTTCGGCTTAATTTAAGGTTAGGAATTATGTTAGCAGTGTGGATAAGGTTAGTGTTAAAGGGTGGCTGAACTTCCTGATTTGGCCTCATTTTTCAGTGGCCATGACTGAAGCCAAACAAGAGTTGTCTTGAGAGAGGGGGTGATTTAATGTGGGTGTCTCTTATGTGTGTATTGCACGTGGCAAGCATTTGTACATTCACTCTGCCAAGACAGTACACAGTTACAGTCACTCACCCTACTAGATAACTTGAAACAACCTCACGTGTCTTGAAGTTGCCTAGGCTAGCCAACTTCATTCACCAATTAGCTTCACCGGCATTTACAATGTAAATGGCCCAATATTTTCATGTTGCACATCTTATAGTTGTCTCATTAAATGCTTTCAATATTTGTATATTAATTTGTACAATTTATAGTTGGTTTGACATTTTATAGTCATTTAAATTTGAAGCTATTGACCTTTTAAAATATTGTCCATGTACATTGTGTGATTTACTGATGGTCCCTAACTACCCCTATAAGGATATTGAATGTCAAACCAAGTTGACCATGGGCATTACGATCGGGTCGTGTGCATCTGTGCTCCGAATTGATGATTACTTTGGGTGATGCCAGCTGTGGGCATGTGGGCAAGATTGAAATAAACCCAACCCAAGGAAAACTGTTACAGTACCCTTAATTCCGTTAGATACACATTTTTCCTATTAATCTCGCAAATCTCAGTTTTGGACAAGACTTTATGACAAAATGTATCCTATTTACACTTTGTAGCCAATTTGACACTAGAATAAATGTTTCTGACTCATATTGATGCCACATAGGCCGTTTTCAAAACAAGAAGTTGCTTTTTAGGGGCAGTTACTTTTTAAGGTTAGGGTTAGGTTTAAAATCAGATGTTATGACTTTATGACTGTGCCAGCTAGTGTGACCACCCTGCAGAGCTGACTCCAGTACATGAGTCTTCCAAATAAATGCAAACCTGCATCCAGCTCGCTAAAGAAATGCAGGTCCATAGAAATCACATGTTCTATATGTGCAGGTCTGCCAGTAGCACTCCTCAAACATGCGCTGCTCTGAATGTGCTGATGAAGAGGCAGATTAGGGGAGAAGTACAGGCGAATGATCCAGCCAGTCTACTGTCTGAGTCACAGTCTGAAAATGGGTTTGCTCTGATATACACTCACAGCCCCATGGTGGACGGTAAAATGTAGGCTTATTCAACAGAACTGCAATGCCAAACAGTAATTCAAATGTTCAGTGCGTACAGTGATTGGATTATAATGGTCAACTCTGCATTAAAGGATGACATGTTTTAGATTTCTATTTATTATGGATCCCCATTAGCTGCTGCCTGTCTCTCTCTCTACCGCACCTGCTATTTCAACCTCTAAATGCCCGGCTATGAAAAGCCAAGTGACATTTATTCCTGATTGTACTGACCTGTTGCAACCTCTACAACCACTGTGATTATTATTTGACCTTGCTGGTCATCTATGAACGTTTGAACATCTTGGAGAAAAATCTGGCCTTAATGGCCATGCATGTTATTATCTCCATCCGGCACAGCCAGAAGGGGACTGGCCACCCCTCAGAGCCTGGTTCCTCTCTAGGTTTCTTCCTAGGTTTCTGCCTTTCTAGGGAGTTTTTCCTAGCCACCGTGCTTCTACATCTGCATTGCTTGCTGTTTGGGGTTTTAGGCTGGGTTTCTGTATAGCACTTTGTGACATCTGCTGATGTAAAAAGGGCTTTATAAATAAATGTGATTGATTGATTGATTACAGAGTTTAACAGAGTTATAAACCAGAGCAAAAACAGACAGAAAAAAAACAGTAACGTAATCACAGAAGTCAAAGGAAAATCAGTTACTTCACACAGTATTAATCACATCAGATACAGTGACTATAGACTAACAAGTGTAAACTACTCAACAAACATAGTACTAACATGGTGTTAACATGGTGCTAAAATATCAAATCAAATGAAATGTTATTTGTCACATGTTTCGTAAACAACAGGTATAGACTAATAGTGAAATGCCACTTAAGGGCTCTTCCCAACAATGCAGTAGAACGATAATAACACGAGGAATAAATACACAATGAGTAACAATAACTTGGCTATATACCCGGGGTACCAGTACCGAGTTGATGTGCAGGCGTACGTGGTAATTGAGGTAGATATGTACATGTAGGTAGAGGTACTAGGCAACAAGATAGATAATAAGCAGTGGCAGCAGCATATGTGATGAGTCAAAAGAGCAAAGGGGGTCAATGCAGATAGTCCGGGTAGCTATTTGGTTAACTATTTAGCAATCTTATGGCTTAGGGGTAGAGGCTGTTCAGGGTCCTGTTGGTTCCAGACTTGGTGCATCGGTACCGCTTGCCGTGCGATAGCAAAGAGAACAGTCTATGGCAATACAGTGCATTCGGAAAGTATAGACCCCTTCCCTTTTTCCGCATTTTGTTACATTACAGCCTTATTCTGAAATTGATTACATAAATACAAATCCTCAGCAATTTATACACAATATCCCATAATGACAATGTGAAAACAGGTTTTTCAAAATGTTTGCAAGTGTATAAAAAAAAAAAAAGAAATACCTTATTTACATAAGTATTCAGATAGACCCTTTGCTATGAGACACGAAATTGAGGTCAGGTGAATCCTGTTTCCATTGATCATCCTTGAGATGTTTCTACAACTTGATTGGAGTCCACCTGTGGTAAATTAAATTGATTGGACATGATTTGGAAAGGCACACACCTGTCTATATAAGGTCCCACAGTTGCCAGTGCATGTCAGAGCAAAAACCAAGTCATGAGGTCGAAGGAATTGTCCGTAGAGCTCTGAGAAAAGATGCCAAGAGTGTGCAAAGCTGTCATCAAGGCAAAAGGTGGCTACTCTGAAGAATCTGAAATCTAAAATATATTTTGATTTGTTTAACACTTTTTTGGTTACTACATAATCCCATATGTGTTATTTCATAGTTTTGATGTCTTCACGATTATTCTACAATGTAGAAAATAGTAAAAATAAATAAAAAACCTTGAATGAGTAGGTGTGTCAAAACCTTTGACTGGTACTGTATGTTAATGTGATTTTTTATTTTTTTATTTTTATACATTTGCTAAAATCTCTAAAAACCTGTTTTTGCTTTGTCATTATGGGGTATTGTGTGTAGATTGATGAGGAAATTTGTTTTTTAAATCCATTTTAGAATAACGCTTTAACGTAACACGTAAGTGTGGAAAAAGTCAAGGGGTCTGAATACTTTCTGAATGCACTAACTTCTTCTGTATAATAAAAAACAATTGGAGAATACACACCAATACAACACTATGTGTACATTCAGAGGGTAGCTGGTTTCTGTACTACAGTTTTACCAAGTATTTATACCGCTGACAGACTTTTATGAGCTGTTTTGACTGCAACTAAGCATATATCTAAGGTAGTGTTGATTTTGTACACAATCATACTTAGTTATAACCAGTTATAACCATAGGCGAGTACACAAGGTGCTCCATCTATGCAGGTGATCTGTCTATCAGGTCAAGATCATGACAACAGGTCCCCTCCACCCACTGAGGATATGTATAATTTTATATTATGTTTCTAGATTCAAATAAATACTTTTTTAGATTTAACCAAAAGTAACTACTTTTCTGAGAATACACACCAATACAGCTCTCCGAGTTTTGTATTGCAGTTAGATATCAAGTATTTATACCATTTGAAGACTTTGCATCCCATTGGCATATTTTTATATGCACAAAATTACCTTATTACAGTCATTCGATACATGGTATAGAAAAGTACAATCTTAGGCGAATACATTATTATCTGTCTATCTGGTCAAAATCACTGATTCAGGTCCCCCTCCACCCTCTGGTGGTGTGGATAACGTATTATGCCTTCAGAGAAACTTAGATTCAAATAAAAGGTCCTATCTATCAAATTACTATTGACGGATTTATGTATTTTTGGCTCGGGTCAAAATGACCCCAAAGGAATTCAATTGATAAAAAGTCTATATTGATACTGAAACACTAAACAATTATTTAGATTGATTAAGAACAAGTTCATTGACAAATGTAAGGGTTGGTGTGAGGTATGACCCAGGTGCGGTGCAGGATAGACAGTAGGCAGTTGGCAGAGATGGTGAAACAAGGATCTTTACTGGTGGTCCAGAATCCAGGATACAAAATAACGGACTTAACACGGTAAAATAAAGGTGGAGCAAATAAGTCTCCAAAAACAGGCTGACAGCCAAAATACCAAATAGTAATTGCAACTGAAATAATAAAGAAACAGGGAGAACACTTCTCGAGTATCTGTACATACTTCTCCAATCAGACATTGATTAGTACTGCTGAACATAGAGAAACTAGCAGAGAAACTGAGCAAGGGAACACAGGGAAGTGAGGGCATGAATACACTGGTGAACAGGTAGACACGTGATACCAATAGGATCATAAGTAGTCCAGACTGTGAGTGAGGAGGTGCCTAAGGTTGTCGGAGGAGGACACCTAGTGGATCACTCCGGAACTGCGACCCCCTCCTGTAACAGTAACACCCCCCCCCCCCCCCCCCCCCGAATGGCATGACTTGGCACTCGTAATGCCCACTGGGTGTGTTAAAATCCGTCTTCCACTCGTCCCCCTCCCGAATCCTCACCAGGTTGTAGGCATTGTGGGGAGGGACCCCTCCCCACATGCCGGCATTCCACGATCCGGTCCACAGTAAAAGCTGGCTGCTCTCCGACAAGGCGCAGTGGGGGAAACAGGACGAGGAGGGGGAGCCAGGGGACAGGTGGCGACAGGCTTGAGGAGGGACACATGGTGGGGGGAAGTTGCAGGCGGTAGTTCACTGGGTTGACTCGCCGGACCACTCAGAATGGCCCGGACGAACAGGGGCGACAGCTTCCTGGACTCCACGCAGAGGGAAAGATCCCACGTAGAGAGCCACACACTCTGTCCCAGGCGAAAAACTGGGGTTGGGCTATGCCTGAGGTTGGCCTGATGTTGAGACCTGACGAGGCCCGCTTAAGCGCCGCCTGTACCTGCCTCCAGGTGCGGCGACAGCGACTGATGTGGGCCTGGACCAATGGGGCCACCGCCTCCTCTCTTGCTCGGTACCCGTATTGGCACTGGAAGGGGGACAGGCCGGTGGACGAGCAGAGAAGGTTGTTGTGGTTGAACTCCGCCCACACCAGTCGCTGACTCCACGAAGCTGGGTTAATGGAGGCGTAGCACCTCAGCACCCCCTCTAGATCCTTGTTGATGTGTTCCGTCTGCCCGTTCGACTGCGGATGGAAGCCGGAAGACAAGCTGACGGAGGCGCCGAGGCAGGTGGCAAACGCCTTCCAGAACCTGGAGGCGAACTGAGGGCCCCGATCCGACACCACATCCTGGGGAAGGCCGTGGAGCTGATGGAGCGCATATCCCCCTCAGCTGATGGCCACCAGAACCTCCTGGCGCCCCCCGGATGGCTAGCGAGGTCGGACGCGTGCATCCTCTGAAGCAGTCGTGAGTGCCCCACCTTGGGTACGTACATCCTCCCCAATGGACCTCCTCCCAGATCGGGCTCCCGCCATAGCGATGCTCTGATCAGCCTATCGATTCCCCACAAAACTGGGGCAGCAATCAGGGCGTTGGGGACAATGGGGTCGTCCCTCTCTGCCAAGTCCACGGGGTCGAACTGCCGGAAGAGCGCGTCAGGCTTGGTGTTCTTCGACGCCGGACGATATGAGATCGTGAACCGGAACCTGGAGAAGAACAACGCCCACCTGGCCTGGTGCGAGTTGAGCCTCTTGGCCCCCGAATGTAGGCTAAGTTCTTATGGTCAGTCCATACGACGAATGGATGGGCGGCCCCCTCTTGCCAATGCCTCCACTCCCCCAGGGCGAGCTTGACCGCTAGCATCTCACGGTTCCCCACATCATAATTCCGCTCCGCCTGGGACAGCCGACAGGAGAAAAATGCGCAGGGGTGAGTCTTACCGTCCGTGAGGAACCGCTGGGACAGGATTGCTCCCACCGCAACATCTGAAGCATCCACCTCCACAATGAACAGCAGGGACGGATCAGGATGCCCTAGGACCGGGGCCGTTGTAAAAACTCTGCTTAAGTGCATCGAATGTGTTCCCCGCTTCCGGGGTCCAGGCGAAGGAACGCACACTCGTCTGGGTGAGGGCTGTCAGGGGAGCGGCTAGGGAGCTAAAATTGCAAACCCTAAAAACCGTTGTAGTTGCTTGAGGGAGGAGGGCTGGGGCCAATCCAGTACCGTGCTGACCTTGGCTGGGTCCATCCGTAGGTCCCCCTGGGTGACAATGAACCCCAGGAAGGAGACTGTCTCCGTGTTGAACATGCACTTCTCCGCCTTGACGTAGAGCTGGTGACAGAGAAGGCGTTGGAGGACCTGCCGAACGTGCTGCTGGTGTTCACTCATGTCCTTTGAAAATATTAGGATGTCATCCAAATACACGAAGACACTGTAGTTGAGGGGGTCCCGGAGCACATCATTGACCAATGCCTGGAACACCGCAGGCACGTTGGCTAGACCGAATGGCATGACTTGGCACTCGTAATGCCCACTGGGTGTGTTAAAATCCGTTTTCCACTCGTCCCCCTCCCGAATCCTCACCAGGTTGTAGGCATTTCGTAAGTCCAGTTTGGTGAAGACCCGGGTCCCTGCAACGACTCGAATGCCGTCGTCATCAGGGGGAGTGGGTAGCGGTTCTTAACCGTGATGTCGTTGAGCGCCCGGTAAATGCACGGCCGCTGCCCACCGTCCCTTTTCCCCATGAAGAACAAGCATAGAGAAACTAGCAGAGAAAACTGAGCAAGGGAACACAGGGGAAGTGAGGGCATAAATACACAGGTGAACAGGTAGACACAGGTGACACCAATAGGATCATGATTAGTCCAGACTGTGAGTGAGGAGGTGGCTAAAGTTGTCGGAGGATGACACCTAGTGGGTCGCTCCGGAACTGCGACCCCATGCTGTAACAAAAAAAAAAGTGAAGAATTGAATAAACCACCTTTAGGCTATGATCCAAAAATATGCCTCTGGGTTCAAAATGACCCCAGTCGGTGGTATGAGGGTTAAACAATTAACATCCCATCATGCTTAGGGTCATGTATAAAAAATTGCCCAGTTGCCCATTATTTTGGCTAGAAGAAAAGATCTCATTGACTTTTCAAAGAGGGGTCTCAAAGTAGCATAGTGTGTTTAAAGTGTGTGTGTGTGTGTGTGTGTGTGTGTGTGTGTGTGTGTGTGTCACCAGATCTCAACCCAATTGAACACTTATGGGAGATTCTGGAGTGGCGCCCGAGATAGCGTTTTCCACCAAAATATGGAATTTCTCGTGGAAGAATGATGTTGCATCCATACAGACACTTGTAGAATCTATGCCAAGACTCATTGAAGCTGTTCTGGCAGCTCGTGGTGGCCCAAAGCCCTATTAAGACACTTAATGTGGTGTTTCCTTTATTTTGGCAGTTACCTGTGACACAGGATGGTCATAATGCTTCTTGACAGTGTCATAAAGTGTATTTTCTGCAAGTTATTTAATATATGATGGAAAAAAACATGACTGTAAAGAATTCATTACAACAACAAAGGACTTACGAAACAAACTTTCAAACGAAAGGAAACTTCTTGGCAGGGAAAAAATACATTTGAATAAATGTGAGTTTTGATACTCTTATGTAGGTGTCATAACCAGCCATAAAATAATGCAATATATGTCACAACAGGTGTAAATATATGGGTCATGACCATATTATGACAGGTTATGATATGTTATGTCAGCTGTTATGATATATTTTGACATGGTTATGACCGTGTCATAGCATATTATGACAGTGGGTGTCATGTAAAGTGTTACCATTAATACAAAACAGCAGCAGATAACATAAACCAAATAATCGATCAAATAATGTCCCACTACAACTAGTCCCAAATGTCCAGATTGTTTATTTGTTCTTACTCCTTTAAATGAATCCATGGATAACAACTTGGGTCCTGAATCCCCCCATAAGACATCAGAGCCGAACACAGACCAGAGCAGAGCACTAGTGGACTGTGTCTCCACAGCTGTGAGAGGCTCTACCAACGCTGGCCTCTGCTCCTCTTACCTCCCATCCACCATCCCCCACGCAGTTCTGCTTTGCAAACACTTAAAATGGAGTGAGGGAGGTGCTGATCAGCAATGCCCTCCCCCGTGATTCACAATGTTCAGCCATGGATAAAAAATGTATTACGTTATTTCCTTTTTATGGGGCAGCTTGTAGTGAATCAGAATAGGTCAGATAGGCTGGTGTTATGACATTCTGTTTTAAAGGTTGACGTGATGGCCATGTTTAAACTAGCACTGCAGAAAATCAACAAACGAGTGTCTTGGTTGCTTGGTCGGGTGAACCATGGTGGTTGTGGTTGTGTGCGTGTGCGTGAGCGTGTGCGTGGAGGAGGATGTTGATGATTTAGGATTAGCCTTTGTCCTCTGGGTTTTTATAGGTCAGTAGGGCCTTAATAAAGCCATCCTACCAACAGATACATGTATTAATAATTGACTTGTCTAATGTGCATCGTAACTAATGATAGTGATACACCATAAACATGTCTTATATGCTTTAGGCTTACAGTATATGTTCTATTAGACATACATCGTACACATACACAACAACTTTGGTGAGGAGTAAAGCTTTGTCATCTATTTTACGGCGTCAGTTGTGTCCTTCACAAATAATTTCTGTCTCTTCATAAAGGACATACAGCAAGGACAAACTGACAGAAGTATTTTAACCTCAGAGAAGTAAAGAGCGTTTGACATGAACATCTAGAGTAGACCACCAGGGACGCGTGGAGCAGTAACTGTTGATTATTAGTGCTCTTTATTAACTTTAGGCAGGGAATACTGCCGGCAGATTGTGAATGTTTCCCGACGGCGGTTACATTAACCCTAACCTTAACCCTACACTTAACCAAGTTCGATCTGTAGGTCTAACAAAGTCTCCTTGACATTACTTTACAGATGTACATCCAGACAACCACGCTGACCATTTCAGTGAGCCTGAGTGCGTCTGTCTCTCTGGGGATGCTGTACATGCCCAAAGTCTACGTGATCCTCAGGCACCCGGAGCAGAACGTGCCCAAACGCACACGCAGCCTCAAGGCCGTGGTCACAGCTGCCACCATGTCCAACAAGTTCAACCCCAAGGCCAGCCTACGTCCCAACGGAGAAGCCAAGTCCGAGTTGTGTGAGAGCCTGGAAACACAAGGTGAGTTATAAGGTGAAGACTTATATATGCTATATATACTGAACAAAAATATAAATGCAACATGAAATAATTTCTAAGATTTTACTGAGTTACAGTTCATATGAGGAAATCAGTCAATTGAAATAAATTCATTAGACCCTAATCTATGGATTTCACATGACTGGGAATACAGATATGCCTCTGTTGGTCACAGATACCTTAAAAGAAATGGGCCTCAAAATGGGCCTCAGGATCTCGTCATGGTATTTCTGTGCATTCAAATTGCCATTGATAAAATGCAATTGTGTTAGTTGTCCGTAGCTTGTGCCAGCCCATACCTTAACCCCAATGCCACCATGGAGCACTCTTTTCACAACATTGACATCAGTAAACTGCTCACCCACACAACGCCATACACGTGGTCTGCGGTTGTGAGGCCGGTTGGATGTACTGCCGAATTCTCTAAAACAACGTCGGAGGCGGCTTATGGTAGAGAAATGAATTTTCAATTCGATACATTGGTTTAAGAGGTAGAAGGTGGAAAGCAAAGTATCCAAATAATTATTTACTGGCCATCTTCCGCCGTTGTTATTTGACACTTCAATGGGTGCAGGAATGTTTTATTTTATGTCAGTTTGTGAGTTGGGGAAGGCATTAAAACATTCCCTGATAGGCTCAAATTCTCCACTGTGTGTGGAGATCACTAAGGAGGGCATCAGTACCAGGAGCGGTGCATAGTGCTACTTCACCAGCTACCTCAACGCCATACACAATAAACCTATTGTATTGTATTGTATTGAATGTATGTGATCCATTTCAATGCTTGTTATACAGCGTCTACAACAACCATGTTTTATTTTCAATTTCAATATCACAGAAAAACAATGCTCAATATGCTGTGCAGGTATATTTTTCAGCAGTTTGGCTCAGATTTGTGGCAGTGTTCAAAGCCCGGTGTAATTATTTGAGAGGTAAATCAGTTTCCTTTCTGAACCAGCTGAACCTCTCTCTGCCTGAGTCCATCTCCCTCTAATTTGAATAGAAATAAAAATGCTTGGTGGTTTCTGGGACAGACTTGGCTTTATACAACTATGGTAAGTAATGACTTCAACCATTGACACAGCAGAAATGTCTCAGGTGATGGCCAAAACACTCAACCACCCGGCTGGCTCGCTTCCCTCAGAAAAGAAATGTCAGTCATGTCTGTCAACAGAGATAGACTCCCTATTTGTGGGTAAATCTTAATGACGGATGCATATCGTGATGATTCACTGTTCCCTGAGAGCTAGCCTACAGTATTTGGGGGACTATTTAGCCCCTGCAATTTTTATTCCACTTATAACAAAATTACGGAGATGTTCCCCAAAAATACATGGTTGACCATATACTGTAGTTGTTTATATAGAATGCAACATTGCAAATATTTGATGACAAAATGATGAGGATGCTGAGCATGGTGTGGCATTACATCTACACATAGGCCTTTATCCTAAAAACATGTATTTAGTTTAACGACAACAGTGACAATGTAACAATAAGTGAGGAGAGGGAGATTTGATAGCAAGCACACATTCCTTGCCTTTCTGTTTACAAAGGGGCATACAGTGCACAGGTATTTGAATAAGCACCATTTGTCATTGTCATGGTCATTGCCATTGAGGACACATTGCATGATGAAATTGAACAATTCCTGACCTTCTAGGCAGAGTTGCAAAGAAAAAGCCATATCGCAGACTGGCCAATAAAAATAAAAGATTAAGATGGGAAGTCTGAGATATGGTTTTTCTTTGCAACTCTACCTAGAAGGTCAGCATCCCGGAGTCGCCTCTTCACTGTTGACGTTGAGACTGGTGTTTTGCGGGTACTATTTAATGAAGCTGCCAGTTGAGGACCTGTGAGGCGCCTGTTTCTCAAACTAGACACTCTAATGTATTTGTCCTCTTGCTCAGTTGTGCACCGGGGCCTCCCACTCCTCTTTCTATTCTGGTTAGAGACAGTTTGTGCTGTTCTGTGAAGGGAGTAGTACACAGCGCTGTACGAGATCTTCAGTTTCTTGGCAATTTCTCGCAAGGAATAGCCTTCATTTCACAGAACAAGAATAGACTGACGAGTTTCAGAAGAAAGTTATTTGTTTCTGGCCATTTTGAGCCTGTAATCGAACCCACAATTGCTGATGCTCCAGATACTCAACTAGTCTCAAGAAGGCCCGTTTTTATTGCTTCTTTAATCAGCACAACAGTTTTCAGCTGTGCTAACATAATTGCAAAAGGGTTTTCTAATGATCAGTTAGCCTTTTAAAATGATAAACTTGGATTAGCAAACACAACGTGCCATTGGAACACAGGATGATGGTTGCTGATAATGGGCCTCTGTACGCCTACGTAGATATTCCATTAAAAATCAGCCATTTCCAGCTACAATAGCAATGTCAACAATGTCTACACTGTATTTATGATCTATCTATCTATCTATCTATCTATCTATCTATCTATCTATCTATCTATCTATCTATCTATCTATCTATCTATCTATCTATCTATCTATCTATCTATCTATCTATCTATCTATCTATCTATCTATCTATCTATCTATCTATCTATCTATCTATCTATCTATCTATCTATCTATCTATCTATCTATCTATCTATCTATCTATCTATCTATCTATCTATCTATATATATATATATTTACACTACACTGTAAATATACAGCCTCAATTTGTCAGGGCATGGACTCTACCAGGTGTCAAAAGCGTTCCACAGGGATGCTGGCCCATGTTGACTAAAATGTTTCCCACACTTGTGTCAAGTTGGCTGGGTGTCCTTTGGGTGGTGGACCATTCTTGATACACACGGGAAAGTGTTGATTGTGAAAAACCCAGGAGCGTTGCAGTTCTTCACACAAACTGGATGGCACCTACTACCATACCCCGTTCAAAGGCACTTAAATCATTTGTCTTGCTCATTCACCCTGTGAATGGCACACATACACAATCCATGTCTCAATTGTCTCAAGGCTTAAAAATCCTTCTTTAACCTGTCTCCTGCCCTTCATCTACACTGATAGAAGTGGATTTAACAAGTTACATCTGTAAGGAATCATAGCTTTCACTTGGATTCACCTAGTCAGTTTATGTCATGGAAAGAGCAGGTGTTCATAATGTTTTGTAAAAGATACATCTATATATGAAACTTGGTCCAATCTGTAGCTGAAACTACATGGTATTTACTCTTAGGTGGATATAACATCATTTCTATTTTTGGATATGTCATCAAATAACATTGATATCCACCTGTCGATGTACAAAGCACAAAGTAGAAATTCTGCTCCACTACTTACTAACCACAGTGTATACAGTACAGCAATAACTTTGATGTTGCGCTGACCTTGTCTCTGTGTTGATATCATCTCCTTCTTCCTCTTCTCTTTCAGCTTTCGCCACAAAACAAACATACATCAGCTACAGCAACCATGCAATCTAGGAGAGGAAGGCCATCGTCATTGTTCAGTATGGTCACCTCGTGGCAGGTGAAACTTTTCTTATGCAGTGGAAATGGGGGGAAAATAGAGCAAGAAAATGGACATAGGACATTTTGTGAGGATCACTAAAGTATTTCCTAGGGAATAGTCATCGTAAAGGACAGAGAAAAGACAAACAGAGATGCAGGAAGGGACCCTCAGGGGACCCCAACAGAACAAATACAGTATAATTGTGATGTTCCATCTTGTGTCGGCCATGGCAGACAAGACAAACACTTCCCTCCTGGCAGAGGCCAGAGTCCGGAGATGACATCATGCAGGATGGGGCTTCTAATCCCTTCTCGTTGTTTACATTGCTGCGTTACCTTCTCTCTCTCTATGACTTATCTTCTCAAGCTGACAATTGAAAGAATCTGTTTAGGTGTGTGCGATGCAATGTTGTAGTCTGCCAGTGTTGTCATCAGTAAGTTACATTGCTCTCAATGCTTCAGGAAGTTACAGAGACACCATTTTAAGAGTGGTCAGTCCTTAAATGTCTAGGAGGACTTTAAGTAATGTAATTGTTAAAAAAATATATTTCTGAAAGTATTCCAGTTTTTAGACAAAGACTGGATGGAAAACATCATTCCAACAATGCAGGATAATTGTATGCCATCATAAAAAATTCTAATGATGTTGACAACAAAAAATATGGTCATTACTGATTTTAAGCATGCCCGTTTGAACATCCTGTGTTGTGTTGTTAAAAAAATATATTTAGAATGCGTTCAAACTATGTTGCAGTGTCATTCCCATTGTTTGGGCCTGAGCCTATTGTATGTAATCTCCAAACTGATGAAGGTCTAGTGACTGATCTTTGTTTTGTTGTGCTAAAGTGAGGCCCTGATCTGTATTACCAGCTATCCAAAGGCTGCCACTGCCCTCTGCCCACTACATCCGTGCTTTAATACAGTAACTCCAGATTAAAACGAAGAGCCTGAAAGAGGCCCTACAGTGAAATACCATAGCTGACCCCCATCCACTTCCACCAGCTATCCTCCTGATCACACATAAAGGTTTTTATTGATTGATATGATTTATTTAAGCGTCATACACCTACCGGTGCCCAGCCCACATGGGATAACAAGACACTACTAAATACAATTTTCCTTTTACTCAAGGTACAGCTAAGTTGTACAGATCATAAAAATTAAGATAAAGTTGCCACCGTATTCATTCACCCAAGATGATATCCATAACGAGACTAATTCATAACACAAAATGTTGACTCTGAGGACTGTCATGTTCTGTAAAATGCTTCAGGGATATGCTATGTTACTATATGACTGATGCCTCAAGCTGCAGAAAAGAACCTACTCAAGACAAAATGCAAAAGGATCCAGTACTCATTTCAGTCGCCTTCAGCTCTCTGAATAAATACAATATATTACCAAAAGTATGTGGACACCTGATCGTCAAACATCTCATTCCAAAATCATGGGCATTAATATGGAGTTGGTCTCCCTTTGCTGCTATAACAGCCTCCACTCTTCTGGGAATGCTTTCAACTAAATGTTGGAACATTGCTGCGAGGACTTGCTTCAATTAAGCCACAAGAGCATTAGTTAGGTCAGGCACTGATGTTGGGCGATTAGGCCTGGCTCGCAGTCGGCATTCCAATTCATCCAAAACGTGTTCGATGGGGTTGAGGTCAGGGCACTGTGCAGGCGAGTCAAGTTCTTCCATACCGATTTCGACAAACCATTTCTGTATGGACCTCGCTTTGTGCACGGGGGCATTGTCATGATGAAACAGGAAAGGGCCTTCCTCAAACTGTTGCTACAATGTTGGAAGCACAGAATCGTCTAGAATGTCATTGCATGCTGTAGCGTTAAGATTTCCCTTCACTGGAACTAAGGGGCCTATCCAGAACCATGAATAACAGCCCCAGACCATTAGTCCTCCTCCACCAAACTTTAAAGTTGGCACTATGCATCCGGCAGGTAGCATTCTCCTGGCATCCGCCAAACCCAGATTTGTCCATTGGACTGCCAGACTGCCAGATGGTGAAGTGTGATTCATCACTCCAGAGAACGGGTGTGCTCAATTTTATATACCTGTTAGCAACGGTGTGGCTGAAATAGCCGAATCCACAAATTTGAAGGGGTGTCCACATACTTTTGTATATATAGCTTATATCAGAGGGGGGTGCTGTAAAACTGAGCAGCCCTTTAGTTTTTTGAGGGAAAAATTTAGGTCATTTGTGATGTGAATTCAATGCTGCTTTTCCATCTATCCCTCTGTATTACTTTAAACACCATTTGTGTTGCAGAAATAAAATAATGTGAGTGCTGACCAAATGAAATGGCAAGTTAATATATGTTATTAAATAGATTGATGATGTCTGCTTTTATGTCCTGACAAAACTAAAAAGGGAAAAATGTGAACAAAAAATAAACAGTGCCTGACTATCTGACTATGTATTTGTAAAACCTATTGAAAACTAATGAAGTGTGTGGAGCATGTCCAGTTATTTTTATACAAAATCACATTTCTAATTAAAATGTTTTTAA